TTTGTCTGATAAACCTCTACTTCTGTATTCAAAATTTATGTCTCAGAACTTCTGCTCTTCTCATTGTGTTTCTCCTTCTCGTATTCAGATAGTCCTTGCTTCCTAACCATGTGTGTTGCCTTATTTGCTTTTTTGGTGGTTTGGGTGCTGCTTTAATTCTGTTATTTGCTTATTTGCCGCTTTAATTCTGTTATATTGCCTTATCTGCTTTTTTGGTGGTTTCAGCGCTGCTTTAATTCTGTTTCTCTTCGTAGTTTGAGGCGGGGTCAGAAAGGGAGACAGGGGCTTAAATATTGTTTCAATTCTTGAGGAATGAGGTGGGTTACCTCTGCCTCCTCCATCTCCATAGCCAGCTCTGTTCAGTGCTTTAGCTGTGGTAACCTCCCATCCCGCCTCCCTGCTCCTCCCGTCTGCCATAGATTGTGATCTATGAAGCTTGCTTCTCCTGGTGAGGAGGCGCAGCTCGGCTCCTCCAGGATCATGGGACTCAGGTGTGCCTGGCAGGAAGGAAGCTCAGTTTCTTCACTTATAAAACAAGAATAATAAATTGGGCTCGTGAGTTACAGGACGACAGAATGAGCTAATACACATAGGCAAGTAGAAAAAGCAAGTAATAACCGTTCACCCTACCACTAATGTTTCTGTGACTGAATTGGTCTTGTTATTAGTGGTCACCACTGAGGCCCTGTTGCTCATTTTCACCAGCATTTGGCCATGCTACGCCTACTTCTCAGGCAGCTCCTGTATCCACAGAACCAAACCAGCCAACCACTGCCAGTCCCGGCCTGCCACTAGCCTGCTCCCCATCCTAGAGAAAGCCTAGCTTTATTTCCAACACTACAGCATCTGTTGTCCTGAGCAAAGTGATCTGAGGCACAGTCCCACATGCCTTTGCTGTCTTCAGCTGCTTTAGGTTCTAGCACGTGAAGAATCCCCATGTCTCACTCAGCCTCTCCCTCCTTAACTCAAGGGGTACTTAGTACTAGCCTCTCTTCATTTCCCTGACACTTCAGCCCCATTTGCTGCCCCTCATTTTCTTGTTTTGAGTAATGTCCTCAGCGACCTGAAGAGACACTGGCCTTCAATAACTTCCTCTTGCTACATTTAGCACTGACCACGCACAGCAAAAGTGCCAGTGTTGGTCCTGCCCCAGACAACCTGCAGTGACTCTAATGTTCCTGGGGGGGGGGGGGGGGGGATTTCCAGTGCAGAGGTGTGTCCTGGGGTTAACTCCCAGGCATCTGGATAAACAGGAGGGAGAGTTAAACACCCAAAGACACCAGGAGAAGATCTAGGGAAGTAGAAGGAATCCAAGTGAACCTCACTCAGAGCCACTGGTCACAACTGGAGGCTCTTGGTGATGTGGGAAGTTTTGTTGAAAGCAGTAGAAAGGGGGGCTATGAATTGGCAGAGCTTCACCTCTCAGGCTTCCCAAGTGGGGCTTCTGCGCAGCTGTACTCAAATTCCCTTTCAAATTAGTGTCAAGCTCATCTACTTTTTAAAAAGCAAATGGCCCGTACTCCTTACTTGAAGCCCAGCCATGGCGGCACCTTTCCTGACAGACGGGCTGGTATCCAGCGTCAGGTAGCCTGTCGTCTGCCCAGGTGTCCGTCAGTTCCGGGGGGAGCATCCAGGGTCAGGAGCTCCCCGTCATAATCCTGCTCACGACCCCACTCCCAGCAGCCCTCGATGCCCACTCCATTGCTAGCGCTAGGCCTTCTTTTTGGAATGAGTGTCCCCACATCCACCACCAGGGATTGTGTCAGCGGCCTGACTTCAGATTTCTCAGGGGAATCTGTACTCCCTTTGGTCTCCCGAGTTCGCTGGTGTCCTTCTCTGGGTTCTTCTGCATGATGCCTGCTGACCCTGACAGTGTTTGGGCCTGCCGTATTTTGTTGAACAAGACGCAGGGGTACGTTCTGCTTTGCTCAGAGGTGTGCTGTACGTGGGATGACTCGGCGTGCGGCCTGTCCCGGTGGCAGGAGACCCCAGGATGAGGCCATGAGCGTGAGCGGAGAGCCGGAACACGGGCAGAGGGCCCCAGGCCCGCTCACCGGCCCCTCCTCAGCAGGATGGGCTGTGGGCTTTGCCTTTTTAAACACCAGGGTGCGGACCAGGTCGGGTGGAGACCCGGAGCCAGCAGCCCAGGGCCAGGAGGATGGGATGGGAGCTCAGTAAGCACTTGAGCCAAGATAAGGCTTGGAGAGGGTGCGGGGTCCCGGCCTCCCAGACCAGCTGTGTGTGCACCACGCGGCGGAAGAGAATGAGGACAGGTTTCGGCCAAGGGTGCTCGTAATAGGCCTGGACACAGCCAGGGGGGCTGGGACTAGAGCTCCGGGCACGTCTGACGAAGCCGCCCCAGCTCCCGCGGTGTCTCACACGTCTGACTTAGAAACCGAGTCCCGTGCCCAGGGTGTGGTCACCTCATTACCCATTCAGCTTGTCAGACTGAGCGAGAGCGGAGCCGCCGACCAGAATGACCCATGTGAGGGCTGAAACGGTGACAACACGTCACCACCCGGCCGTGGGAGAGACCCCCCGGGGGAAGCAGGGCCCAGCAGTCACAGCAGTGGCGTAAGGACAGGTCAGTGCCCGTCTTCAGGCGTTTCATGTAAAACCGCGTTGGTGGACGAGGATTCAGAATGCTTTGGTTTGTAAACTTAAATGCTGAGTTCTGAGCTGGACCCCCAAGGCCCTGGGGACCAGCAGCTCGGGAAACGTCCACCCCGGTGGTGGTGGCAGGCGGGGAGGCGACGCCTCCTCACAGCATTTACAAGGGGCTGATGGGCCGGAACAGCCCGGCTCGTCTCTCCAGCGGTTTTCACGGGTTTTGACTTCCCTGTTTTTTATGTGAAAGTTTCCGTGACGCAAACGGTGACCGGCAGGTGAAGGCTCTGACGGACGCTCAGGCGCCAGCGCGGAGGCCTCTGAGGCAGAGGAGCTGCCCGCGGGCCCCTGCGCTCACAGGCCCGGCTGACCCGGCGAGGGGAATAAAGAGGCCGGAAGGGTCTGCAGCGAGTCACCGCGGGGTGCGCGGCTGAGGCGGGCGGGAGAGGCAGCCACGCGCGCCTCCGGCTCGGCTCTCGGGGCTTTGTTTCAGACATTTTGGCGCGTCCTCTCCTCCCTCCCGCTTCTGTGCTCGGCTCTCATCTCCTGGTCTCCTCTCTCCCTGCTCTTCCCTGTGGGCTCTTCCTCCCCTCGCTCTCCTCCCCCCCAACAACTGCCCGATCGATTCAAAGTAATAAGCGTGCAGCGAAATAGGTTCTCCTGGTGCATCTCAGGTTCACCCCAACACACACGCCTCAGGGCGGCTGAGCCACAGGCTGCGGCGGCGAGTGTCGTCTCTGCTGTTTCCTCGGTTCTCTCCCCAATAAACTCTGGGGGGTTCGCGTAGACGCCTCCT